CTGCTTTCTAGCCGAACTTCGAGCTCTTGTTGATTTTCTGGACTACTCAATGGGGGATGCTGAAAATGCAACATCTACAAAGAAGAGGGCTGCTGGAAGGGAGCTATCACGAGATAACCCTGGGCTTGATGATGAAGAAGATGTTTCTGAGCAAGAGGCTGGAACGTTCAAGCGAGCTAGTGAAGAGGTCCTAGCCACCAGAAGAATTGTCAAAGTACGTCGTGGTCAAACTGCCTCTGCCCCGTCTTCTAATCCTTTTGCTGGAATACGCTTGGTACCTCCAACTGAAAATAGTGGAAGTGCTTCAGAAGTTAAAAGTGATGCACAGGCAGCTGGTGAGAAAACTGGTTCAGATGAGGCAAAGCAAAAGGATGTTTCTCATGAAAAGATTCAAAAAGATGGTCATAGTGACGAGCCAGCAGAATGTAAACTTGACACATCAGAGGCCGAATCGGTTCCAAATGTGCAAAATGTTGATCAGAACAGCACTGTTGCAAGCGAATCTGCCATATCTGAGCTAGATGATAAACAAGTTACTGAGCGCAATAAGATTGAAAATGAAATACCGGCCGGAGAAGATAAGAATGGCAATGAGGAACTTGTAAGAGATGAGAAGGCTGAGAATGATGAATGTGTAAGTGGCGGTAAGAATGACAATGGGGATCCTGCAAAAGGTGAAAAGAACGAAAATGAGGATCCTGCGAGAGATGCTAAGAATGAAAATGAAGAACCCAGTGAAGGAAATGAGATACAAAACAAGGAAACTGGGGATCAAGAAAAGACAGAAAATGAAGAAAACAAAGAAAACGGAAGTGAAACAGATCCTAGTAAGAAGGCTGGTCCTTTGAGCTCATTCCAACAATTATCAAGTAGCCAGAATGCCTTCACAGGTCTTGCCGGCACTGGACTTACGACATCTACATTCTCCTTTGGTAATATACCCAAGGATGGGGTTGGCCTGACTGCTAGTTTTGGTCTCTCTACTAATGGTAGCTCAGCCCTCTTTGGTACTTCAGGGTCTTCCATTGTTTCCAAGAGTGAGAAAAGTGGCTTTCCATCAATGCAAGAGGTTGCAGTTGAAACGGGTGAAGAAAATGAAAAAGTAGTCTTCAGTGCTGATTCTATAATGTTCGAGTTTATCGATGGATCTTGGAAGGAACGTGGAAAGGGAGAGCTGAAAGTTAATGTCCCGACGAGTGGGACTGGTAGAGCAAGGATTCTTATGAGAGCTAGAGGAAATTACAGGCTAATTTTGAATGCAAGTCTTTACCCTGACATGAAGCTCACGAACATGGACAAGAGAGGTATCACCTTTGCCTGCATGAACAGCGCCAGCGAAGGGAAGGATGGTCTCTCAACATATGGTTTGAAATTCAGGGATGTATCCATTGTGGAGGAGTTCCGAGCAGCAATCACTGAGCATAAAGGTAAAGCCTCTACAGTTCTGAAAACACCAGAGAATTCTCCTTAAGGACTCAATGATGCGAAAATTATACTTAGTGAAGAACAGCTGCATAGTTTCTGCTCTGTTGTGGAGCGTCGATCAGAGGTCATCCTACAGCTCGAGCGAGTAGTTCTTTTTGGTTCGGCATTTCATAAGCCATTATGTAGCAGAGTCATAGAATGTTACTAATTTTGTTGTAGTTTTTATTTGTCATCATAGACTATTTTCTGTTCATATCTTGGGTGGAACATATGTTCAGACTCGATATGCTCCTAGACCGTGGGAACTGGCAGAATCTCATAATCGTCCATCTCAACTTTGCGATATGAACCAGCTTCTTCTGAGGCCTCTAGATTGAGTACTTTGTTAACACAGAGAAAGGCAAGAAGAAAGAAACGGAAAATGCTACTTTTGTTGTTTGGATATTGGAACATTATGATATCACCAAGTATACTCTGCCTATTCAAACACTACTGTTCCAAACTAGTTGAGATGGCTGCACACTGCTTTGCCTGGTTCTCGTTTTCATATATTGATGGTATTATTATGTTTATAAACAGGTAAGAAGAACTTTTGAAGGTCCTCTCAGCCGTGAAGAATCTATCTCAAATATTTTTGATTTTGGGTCATCTGGTTCTACTCAGCTCTATGCTTAAGCCAAGGATTGCCATCCAACTTCGTAAACTCGGGTATGCGTAGTTTGCATTGATAATTCTTAATCCTGGATTTTTTTCCCTTTTACTTTTCATCGGATCATATGCGATCATATGCGAATGGTTGATCCGAATGGTTTTCTTGAAACGAGTTTTAAAAGTTCACTTAAAAGAAAAGAAAGGTTTAGAGCTTTGTTTAGTCTCTCAACGTTGAGATCAAATTTTAATAGATTTTTAAAACTTTTAATTTTGTATCTAATAAGTTTTTATGGTTCCAGGTAACACATCATTCTCATATATCATGCACAAACTTGAAACCATGAAACCATGCATACACCAAATTATGTTTATTTATTGATGGTGTTAAGGCCAATCCCAGCTCCTTCTCCTCCCTTCTTCATGTTTCTGCATTCTAAGCTTTGATGCATGTTCCAGCGCACGAGTCCACACACCTTTCCACTTTCTTCTCAGCTGCCAAGTTCATAAGAACACAAAATGAAAACATGTTTGAAAAATAAGAAACGAAGAAATGGGTACAGGAAATTTTGCTCACATGGGTCGTTCTTGGTGCTGAATTTGGTGCACATGGAAGTGGCACACCCAAGTTTGCAGAAGTAATGAGTGTTCATATGGTTGAAATTCATTGGGACTGATGCAATGAACAGGCACTTCGCCAAGCACGTTGCACCGCAGGTGCCAAGGGTGATGCCTGGTGTGATAGCACACGCTATGAAGCACTTGGCGTAGCACTTCCTAAAGGACGCTGTGGACCTTCCTGCCATTAAGCTCAGAATGAAGCAAATTATAACAACTGACTTCATTTTCACTCACTCTTCAATGTGAAGCTTTGGGGAAGAGTGGTTGTTCTTAAATAACCACTTGGCTTGTGGAAAATAAGCAGTAGGAAAATGATTCAAGCCTTGACTTAAGCTAAGTCTTCCATTCAAAAATACTCCTTAAAAGGGTCCTATTTATTCGTATGTGGGGTTTAAGAAGCGAGGAGACGGTAACATGATCATGTCGTCAAAGATGTACGAGAATGCCTGTAACAGACCAAGCACACTACTAGCAGATATTGTTTGCTTTGACCCGTTACGTATTGTCATCAGCCCTTACGATTTAAAAACACGCTTGCTAGGGAGAAGTTTTCACATCTTTATAATGAATGTTTCATTTCTCTCTCCATCCGATGTGGGATTCGTAACAGTCAAAGCCCACCGCTAGTAGATATTGTCTGCTTTGACCCGTTGCGTATCGTCATCTGCCTCACAGATCTAAAACACGTCTATTAGGGAAAGGTTTTCACACTCTTATAAGGAATGTTTCGTTCCCCTCTCTAACCTAGGTGAGATTTCACAATGACAAGATCATCAAGTATTGAATTCAGATTCTAAATCTTGAGCACGGTTACAGAAAATATAAAATTGCATGTTTTTGTTCATTCTTTTATGAGTTAGTTAGATACCCATTTAGCAATATTTTGTCATTCAAACCCTTAAATGCATGAGTCAGACAATACTTATAAGTAGACAGAAATTTGTGAATTTCATGATGTTTTCCATTAGAGAAATCAAGATCACCNCGGTTCAAATCTGGTATGAAAATAGTTTAATTGATCATTTAATATTACTTTAATTTTAAATTAATTATTCAAATTAATTGTTGAATTAAAATGGAGAAAGTCAAAATGTTGACTTCACTGAATACAACTATGCACACTGCATTTGGCGTGTAGATTAAAAGATTTTTCTTTAAATAATGGCATAACAAACGTATTCGAGCTCATTCATCCATGGAGTCTTTAGACAAATCCATCACCTTTGTTTTACTTCACATCAAATCTTTTCTTTTCTACATAAGTTATGTGCTTATTGTAATATACCCTAACAAAATGTCTGTTAATCATTTAAGTTGGGAAATATTTGGAAACATTTAATATTAAAATGAGTACATTTGAATAAAATATTAAAATTGTTATTGAAGAATAAAACATTGAGGTCAACCTTATTATCAAAGTCTAGATTTTATAGAAAAATTTCAAGGACAAAACTGAAATAAATTTGCAAGTTATACACCATTGTAGAAAAATGAAACACAAATAGATGATGTAAAGACAAAAAAAAAAGAAAAAAAAAAAAAAAAAAAAAAAAAAAAAAAAAAAAAAAAACCAAACATAATCTACGCTTCATTATGGAAGTTATGTACATAGTCAACATTTTAGGTCAACTTGCACTATTTGTATGGACATTTTGATTTCAGAATGGTCAGGATAAGTCCGTTGTCTCGACGTGGTATACGAGTCATGATTTACATAATACTTTTATACTTTTCATGACATTAATTCTCTACGAGACATACATACATATGGATGATATTCAGTCGGTTCAACAAGAGATAATCTTGCTGCTTACTTGCTATATCCCCGCGCTCTTGCACAGCTCTTCTCCTTTCGGTCTCGCCCTGCTTCTCCCTTCCCCCTCTCCCTATTCTACCGTTCAAAACAAGGCCCTATGGAGTATAGCTAAGTGGTAAGACATCCATTTTTGGTACCGGCATGCAAATGTTTGAATCCTTTTACTCCAGATTATGAACACCGATCGGATCTGTCAAGAACAAGCTGACAACTACAGGGAAAGCGGTTGACTTCATTCATATTTTACTATTTAAAATTTCTTATTTTAATTATGCTTATGAATATAATTATTAAAAATAAGATCAAAATTATAATAATTAATCCAGTCATAATATAATTTTCAGGAATATTCTCATAAGATATTCTTATTTTTTTATTTATTTACTTATAATACTAATAATACACACCTTAACTTAATCTAGGGTTTAGCTTCATAGTCAAATGGTTTATTATCACCAATATTTGACATTTTATTTATTTATTCATTTAATTCCACATAATTTCGTCTTCCTTCATTAATTCTTCACGTTGGAGCATGTTCGAGAGCACGAGTCAACACATCCTTCGACCTTCTTCCCATCTGTCACTTTCACAACAAAATTTTATTAGCATATTTAAACACATGAGCACATACACATGCACGTACACGTTACCTAATGTTGAAAAGATTTAGTCGTTATTTTTACGTTTTAGTTTTTCAATATCAAATCACTGATACGATCTATGTCGATATCAGATCATAGATATAATCTTAGGCGAGATTCTTTGTTTTGGCATGATATTTGATTTGATTTTCATTCTTGACATAATAAAGTACTGAATTTCCTTCTTCCGGCAAACTTATCTCCATTAAATTTAACACCTAAACATACATATATTAATGACAAATAGAATTAAAATTTTGAAGAGATCGAGTAGGTTGACCTGTTCGAGCGTTCGAGAGGAGCCTAGTGCAGCGAGAAGTGGCACACCCGAGCTTGCAAAAGTAAGCATTGTTTAAGTGATTGATATCCATGGGGGAGTCTTGGGCAGATAATATGCATTTTCTTATGCATAATGCACATTCGACGGGGCCAGTGAAGCAGGGGAACACGCAGAAGGCATAGCAATATGGGTTACTCGACAAGTCTGGCATGCCCAAGTGTTGGGAGCTACCGGTGCCCATAACTATGCTCAAAACCAAACCAATTACAACACCTGACTTCATCTTCCAAGCTTCTTGGAACTCGGTTTAGTTTGTTTCTGGGTCGTTAGAGACGGGAACGAACCATCAGCTTCTTAAATAACCATTTGAAGGATCCTACAAATGATTAAACTCAACACACTCATTAACCATGGTTAATTACTTGGATTCCATGGTTTGTGTCCACCAACGTTTATGTTTTAGTGATTATCCACATGGTCGTAAAGTTTATTTATGAAAATATTATTATTCAACCAAACAATATAGAGTAGAATTGGGATCAGAGGTTCAATCTTCATTGATATTCACAACAAGATACCAAAAAATACTTACAAATAAATAAAATATAAACTAACTTAATTTTAAAAATAAAATAAAATATACTACTAATTAAATTGAACTAATTACGAATATATTCTTCAAATGATTACGAATATAACTAATTCAAACTAGAAATAAGTTGTATTAAATTCCGACAATGTGTTCTCGGTTAATTTATGTATACTTTCTTTATTTAGGTGTCACGTGTTTACCAGTTTCTCGCTTGGTTTGTTCTGAAGCACTTCCTACGAGGAGAGATTCTGCTTTGGTGTCATGCCTGTGATTCAGACTAAGATTTGGAATATGAGTTCATCATTTGATGGTTTGGTCAAGTTACGTACTTGTCTTGAAGTGTTTTTTAGTGTGAAGATGCGAGATCCCACGTCGGTTGGAGCGGAGAATGAAGTATTCCTTATAAGGATGTGGAAACCTTTCCTTAGTAACGTGTTTTAAAACTGTAACGGGTCAAAGTGAATAATATTTGAATTCACACATGCTGGAATCTGAATTCACACATGCTAGAATCTGAATTCAGCATCTGTAACCTCTATGTCTAGGATTTGAACTAGAAGTTAGATCTGAATTCTACGCTTGTACTTTAATTATTTTTTAATTAAGTCACTAAGAAATATTTTATTATTCAAAACTAATATCTTGAGATTTTTTTTTTTTTTTACAAAAAGAAAATATCTTTAAATAATTTTCCATAAAATTTTTTATAAATCAAATAATTACTTAGGTCTTAGTTTTATAAACAATTGATTTTTACTTTTTATTTTTTAAAATTATGTATTTCTTCCTAATTTATTTATTAATTTTGAGTATTTTTTAGTCATCATATTCTCACAATCGTTCATATTCAAATGAGTGTGGTCTCAGTTCATTCATGTTCTTACCACAGTAATTATAAAAATAAAAATAAATAAATAAAATGAGTTTAGATTTTAACGAACATACGTCATTAACCACCATGCTTTTAGTTGTGTCTTTTCAATTCACTTTCACTAATTTATAATCGATGACACTACATTTTAAACGGTGTACATAAAACTGAGAAAATCGTGGCATAAGCATCAGCTATTTTAATACTCGAAATTACGAGACATATCAAATGTATTTATCTGGTAATTCATTTTTTCGATATTTACTTTTCTTAAATAAGCCTTTGCACAGTGGAACGACGGTTGAGGTGGCCTAAAAATGATTAAACCTTTTGACTCGGGTAAAATAATCATCTTAATTCTTAAACCGATATTTAAATGCTGGTCTTATCTTTAAGATAAAAATATAGAATTTATATTAATTAAATTATATTTCAATAGCAATTAAATATATTATATTGAAGAGTTGAAACTAGTAGAATGAATGGAACGACCCTTATGAACGTGACAATTTTTATTTTATTATGTTTCTCTTTTTTAATTTTGGATTTAGGGTTACAGATAAAAGTATTTAGTTTGGAATAATTCGTACGTTCATATAAGTAGTAATTATTATTTCTTTTAAATTTTTCTTAACCATTATATCATTAGGATTACTCGCATTCAGATTTGATATCGGTTCATTCATGTACCTCTTCTTTACTCAGACATTAGATGTCCCCAAGTCCACCTTGGTTTTTCCTCGAATAAGATTCTAAGAGAAGAGGTTCGAAAAAAAAGTGCACCTTATTGGTATACGTAGTAATTAAAGTCATTTTTAGTTATCATATTTTCAGTATTACTCTTATTCAAATGTGGTCTTAACTTCATTCATGTACCACTCTCTTACTCGAGGATCATATGTCAACCGGCTTCTATTTTGGTTCGTTCTTGAACAACATCTTATAACGAGAGGTTCTGTTCTTATATCATTTATAATGCTTCATGCTTAGGATCAGACCAAGATTTAAAACCTGAATTCAACGACATCTAATAGGATGTCCCATATTGGTTGGGGAGGGGAACAAACCACCATTTACAAGGGTGTGGAAACCTTCCCCTAGCTAGACGCGTTTTAAAGCCTGGAGGGAAAGCCCAAAGAAAATAATATCGGCTAGCGGTGGATTTGGGCCGTTGTAAGAATTTTATAGTTAAGCGTGTTTTGCTTGAAGCAATTCTATATTAGCAATCTTAATTTCTTAATGATAAGATAATTTATCATTACTAATTAAGTTACGTTTTAATATCAATAAAATTAGCTTCTCTGTATCAATAAAATTAGTTTCTCTGTATAATACTACTTGAGACTGCTCAGTATTTCTCGGGATGAAAACTTTATGTAACAGGCTAAGCCCACTGCTAATAGATAATGTCCGTTTTGCCCTGTTACGTATCGCCGCCAGCCTCATAGTTTAAAAATGCGTTTCTTAGAGAGAGGTTTAATTTCCTCCACACCCTTATAAGTAATGTTTCGTGTTCCCTACTTCAACCGATGTGGGATTTCACAATCCACCCCCTTGAGGGCCAGCGTCCTTGCTCTCTCCTCACGGTTTTAAAATGCGTCTTTTAGAGAGAGGTTTTCATACCTTTATAAGAAATGTTTCATTCCCTCCTTCAACCAATGTAGGATCTCACATTCCACCCTCTTGAAGGCCAGCTTTCTCGCTTACACACTACTTTAGTGTTTGGCTCTAATACAATTTGTAACAACTCAAGCTCCCGTTTTAGCTCGTTACGTATCGTCATTAGTCTCACGATTTTAAAATACGTCTGTTAGAGAGAGATTTCCACACCTTTATAAGCAATGTTTCGCTCCTCTCTCCAATCGATGTGGAATCTCACGGGTTCTTGCAGGCTATACAATTTATTTCTAAATATCTAATCATTTATTCCTAAAATACCTAAAAAAATTTCTAAAATACTTAAATCATTTTCCTAAAATACACAGACAATCAGATCATACATTTTGAAGGGTGAACATAAATTGAGAAAATTGTATCATAAGCGTCAACCAAATTGATCGGTTTGATTTTGTATTGCAATCTATTTTTTTTAAAGAGGCATCAAATATACTGTCACAGCTCAATTTTCGAAGCTTTAAACTAGATTAGACCAACTGAATGTGCAGTGAAAACATATATGAATGAAATCAATGAAAAATTCGGAATGAGATCGAGTTACTGAAAAGGATGATATGACAATTATAAGATGCAAACATGACAGACTCCTAGGTCGACATCCCTTTGTGGCAGCAAAGCTACTAAACACTCCCTTACCTTGACCAGTGGCATCACTCACCTAAAAAAGAAGATGTAGAGATGAACGAGTATATAAATATATCGAGTAAACGCCTACTCGTAGGCTCTCATTGCATTCTTATCTATCAGATTTTCAGGATTTTTCTTTGTGCTCAAGGAAGTTTGGGGTTTGATCTTTGGTGCTATTTAGGCATCTGGGTGCCTTGATGTTCTGAGTGGGTTTCTGTCGTAAGTCTTCCCCTAGGGTCTGTAAAGGTTCTACAACCGTGTCCTGTCCAGTTGGCTATGGGTGCCTTGATGTTCTGAGTAGGTTTCTGTCGTAAGTCTTCCCCTAGGGTCTGTAAAGGTTCTACAACCGTGTTCTGTCCAGTTGGCTAGGCTATCTGACATGATCCCACGTTTCCCTCTCAAGAACGAGTTTACAACACTGTGGCTCTATTCAGGAGACTATTGTCCATTTCCACAAAACTGAAGCTTACGTTATCCTAACCGGCCAGCACTAGGGTAGTGGAGAGTTTGCATAACTTTTATGTCGACTCTATGCAATAAATAGTCTTAACCTAATCTTTTGCACGGTTGCATTAGTGCCCTCCACCAATTAACATAAACATAGTTTAGTAGCAAGTAAACGTAGTTAGCCAAATAATTAGGGGATATAATTAGGTGTGGTTAGATCTAAGCATGGCTTGAAAATGGGTGTCCTCAAATAATAATAATAATAATGCCAAACAAAGTTCACGGGCCATATATACCCAAAATTATGTTCAATCAAATAATAATAATAATAATGCCATCCCGTGACCCTCTCAATCACATTAACACTTTATTTAATAATAGCACGACCTATAGGCAAGACCCGCGAGATCTGAGAAGGCACCTAGTCCCTAGATCCGTCCAACTGCTATCGAAACCCCAGTCAATAATTGGGGCCACTTAAGAGGCGCGCCCAATTCGGATGAAATTGGTGTTAAGATTGTTGTCTCATATTGGCTAATTTAGAAGATGACGATGAATTTATAAGTAAAAAATACATCTTCATGAGTAAAGTTATTGGAACTTTCAAAGTAGACAATATCATATTATTGTAGAGAGTCGTGATTTCTAACCGTTGGCATCTCGAAAATTTATTAAATTACGGTCGAGTAGTTGAACGGCTAAGATCAATCCATGGAGCATGTCCGAGAGCACGAATCCACACAGCTTCCCACTTTCTTTTCAGCTGCATCAACAAAACCAAGAACACTTCGATAAATTTTCATAAAATTTAGAAACAAAAAAAGTTTAAATTATTCATTTTTAGAACCTGGGTTTTGGTGGGTGCTGAACTTGGTACACGAGGAGGCGGCGCAGCCGAGCTCGCAGAAGAACTGGTTCTTTTGTTGCCGGTGGACGTCGTCGTCGGCGGCGGCGTTGTGGATAGGAAAAGATGGGATAATGCAGGCTTGGAGGCATCTCAATGGGCAGTCGGAGAAGGCGACGCCGGGCGTGATGGCGCATATGACGAAGCAGGTGGCGTAGCATTCTTGAAAAGAGGTGGAATTCGCCGTCGTTAATGAGCTCAGCACCAGCCACGCCATTAAACCCAGTTTTGCCTTGCAGCTCTCCATTGATAATGATGATGCCTTGGTTTTGGAGACTTCAATAAGTGGATTTTTAGACGGTTGATTTTTATTGGGCCGACAGAGCTGATAAGGCCCAATAACTGAGGCCCAAGCCCAATCTTGTAGATTTGTTTTCCACGGTTAATTTTTCTCTATTTTTTTTTTGTAAGATAAATTCTATTTTTCAATCTAATTTCTTTTTATATTAAAAAGAGTAGAAACCCGGCTCATTGAGCCGCGTTTCTCCTCTCGTCCCAGATAAACTACCCATCTTGCAGTGTCTCGTCTCTTTCTTCGAAAATTCAGAGCGGGGAAGAACATGTTACCAAAGAGTGAGTTCATAATTTTAAAAATTAAAAAATTTAATATTATAATATATACTTTTTTTTTTAAAAATCATTATTTATTTACAAACGATATTTAAGTGAAAATTAGGTGTAATTGGGAAAATCATGAGTGAAAATAATGGGTTGAAGTGATAATATGTCATAGTAAATATTTAAGAATTAATGATAAATTTATAAGCAAATTTTACTGTAAAAAAAGTTAAATCAATAGTATAGGATCATTTTAACTCCAAACTTTAAATGATTTTAAATAATTTTAACCTTAAATTTTAAAAGGTAAAAAGTGTGGTAAAATTAATTGAAATATTACATGTGGAATGAGGTTAAGTTACAACACATTGAAGATGCTAACGTGGCGACTTGTAATTGGTCAGATTTTCGGACATGGTCCGACTCACATCTCATTTCTCTCTCTTTCAGAGTGTATTATATTACCAAATTACCCTTTTTAAAATTAGATAATTCCCTACAATTTCTCCTAATTTTCTCTATTAAGGATGCCTTATCCAGCCTCGGTCTTCTACCAAAAACTCCATAATCCTTCACCTGTCTTTAATTCTAGGGTTCCGGCCGAAGCTATACCCTAGATTTCGACCATAATTCTACTGCTTATGCACTCCTTTTACGGAATTTTAAGCTCCTTCTCATTGATTTTCAGTTTTCAATTCAAGTTGTGCCGAGGTTTCTCGAATTCCTAATTGGTTTCTGTATAGTGTGTACGGGGTTCTGGAGGATTTTGGATTTGTTGTTTGATTTCTTGACGAGGATTTGTGTTTCTTGGATTTGTTTTGTTATTGCGTGGTTGTGATCGGAAGGGTGAGGGTTCGGATTTTTTTTTTTTTTTTTTTTTTTTTTTTTTTTTTTTTTTTTTTTTTTTTTTTTTTTTTTTTTTTTTTTTTTTTTTTTTTTTTTTTTTTTTTTTTTTT